GGTCTTTGGGGGGTGTGAAAGCTTTTGAAAACGGTCTTTTGCATGATATAGGGGCACATGCGGGAACCACAGAACCATGGTTAATTTTTTCCTGAACGGCCCTCTGAATACCAGAAAAGGGGTCCCTAGTTCGATTCCTCGTGGTGACAAATTTTTGCATTTCGAGTTGACGTTTCCAAAATTCGCGCAAAATGGAGTTAGCATGAATAATTAGTACCATATTCATGATTAGGACCGTCAGTAACCCTTACAAATAGACTTTGATTAAAAAACTGGTGAAAAGGTGTGACACCACAGTGGGTGAATATGGTACTAATTATTCATGCTAACTCCATTTTGCGCGAATTTTGAAACGTCAACTCGAAATGCAAAAATTTGTCACCACGAGGAATCGAACTAGGGACCCCTTTTCTGGTATTCAGAGGGCCGTTCAGGAAAAATTAACCATGGTTCTGTGGTTCCCGCATGTGCCCCTATATCATGCAAAAGACCGTTTTGAAAAAGCTTGGCACACCCTGAAAGACCTCCCTTGTGAAAGCGCGCACTACTCATGCAAGTGTCACAGCTAAATTTAGCTCCATACCAAAGATCGCTATCATTCCCTACGTTCCTCCTTCCCTTCAGTTTTGGGAGAACAGCATTCTTTCTGTGCTTAGCGATCCGGTCATGATCTGATGACCCGTCCCACCACATAACATGTACATGGAACCTTACAATAAAATACAGATAATGTGAGATTTCTTCTTCTCGCCGTGCCTTTTGCTCCCCTACTTGTACACTCGCAAAAGAGCGATCGTACTTTGCTGTTCCAGGAATTTTCGATGTGTAAGCGAGAGCTGGAATGCTAGTCCTGTAAATAATTGGAATAGAATTCATGAGACGCTGGATAGTGAGTAGCGACAATGGTGCCTTGGCTTGAGGAAGAGGGGGGGGGAGAAGGCGGTGCTCTTATTGATAGATAGTTGACAGTGTCCGTTACATATGAGGGTGGACAACGCATCGAGGAAGTACCAGCGTAAGCAAATGGTTTTTGATATGCAAATATAATACTACGCGATCTCACTTGCCTTCCCATTCTACCAGCTCCACCGCCTTCCGACCGGTGATGGACGAGATCCTTAGTCACTTTTAGTTTCGCTTCGATAGCACAGGGCACATTCTACTCTTACCCAAAAATCCCTCTGAACTGCCTTCAAGCGAGTGTGGAGGGGGTTGAGAGAAGCGTTTGCTGAAACGTTATAATTCCATGTCGCTATTAATATTGTTTCCAACCTCAACTTCACTCTTCTACGATCTCACTGGCAATCTCGAAAACGACCTGCTCCTCCTTCCGAGTTCGACCGCAGTGAAGGAGTTTTCGACCGACCTACAGTAGCGTCAAAAGTATTCGCCGAAACTTTTTTCGCGCATCTTTTTTTCTCACTCAAGTAGTGCCCTTCAAGTATTAATAAGACATGCCTTTTAAAGCCTTTGAAACCTTGACTATTGAAGAGTTTAGATATTTGAAAGAAAGGCTTCAAACTAATCTTCAGATCTTTCTCTGGAGGGAAGAAATGAAATGCACGAAAAAGCGTTTCGGCGAACACTTTTGACCGCTACTGTACGTCCCGTATAGGCGGCCAATATCAAATTTTCCGAGCGTGGCTTTCCTTGTATTGATATGTGTGTATGATATAAATGTGTATCTCATGGAAAACTACTGGTGAAACTTTGCATACCATACTCGTTTTGACGCATGGTTTTCAGGACGAGAATGGAATGTGGGGACGACAACATAAAGAAACGCGATGCGCTGACTGAAGAATACAGAAAGGTGAGAAATGCTTTAAAATACATTTAAAAGTCGAACCTCGATAATTTCAAGCGTGCCTCGAATGTCTAGCTCTCGTTCACAGGTTTTGTACGAAATCCAGAACGAGAAGAAATTCGATGAGCAAGATTTCACTGTTGTTGTACAAGGATTCATGGATGATATAAGGGACGCTTTTCGAAATGTGAGCCCATCTTCCACCGACCTATTCAGAACTCATTACATCTACGATGATAGACATTTACAACTTTAATTTATTTGTTTAGAAAAAAGGCGACTATGACAAATCATTCTATGGTGCCGATATGTTTCATCTTAGTAAATACGGGAATGCAGTGTTAGGCAAATTTCTTTGGAATGCCATGCTTGAGCCCGTCGGCAAGAAAACCACAAAAGCGGATCTTGGCGATGACTCAGCTCCTTTGAAATGCCCTTCTAAGGTTTGTCTCATTGGATTCGAACTGATTGCAACAGTTGAATAAAACTCCTTTGCTTTCAGGATTCTCCCTTCATACAAACTCTAGGAAACAAATCGTGATGCCTCATTTAATGAGGCTGTCATCATCGTTGTGGAATAAGCTGTAATTATTTGTGTCAATATGTACTATGTTCGTGTTATTTATTACGAGTTGCGACTCAAGATTTTAATAAATTGTGAATTCAAGTTTTTGAGCAAATCTTGAAACGAATTCGAAGGTAGAATTCCCAGAAAGCCGTAGTGAAGAAATGCTCCATGAATACCTGAGAATTCGTGACTTGCTCACCAAAATATTCACGGGCCTGTATTTTGAATCCCCTCAGGGATGGGCAGCAACAACGAACGCATACGCACTCTGATGCTCGAAACTGATCCGACACAGTCCACTTGAACCGAGCGTTTCATGGCCACGAATTGAAGCTGGCGATGTATTTAAAGGCACGAGTCGGGATTGAATTGATGCGTTATTTTGTTCAAACATTAGGCAAGGGGTGCAATGAGGAACATTAGTGAGGAGAAAAAGCAAAAAGCACCATAGAAAACACTAAATTTCCCTTAGGAGGCCGGCCGTAGTACGACGGAGAGACACAGCGCTGCGAGGAGAGGGAGAACGCGAGATAGTACGTCGTACGCGAGAGGACGCAGAGACCACGTATGCCGGATTACGCTGGCAGCGCGGGCAGCGCGGCGGGCAAGGCCTTAGCGCCATTGCCGCGCACTTTTGATAGTGTCGCGCCCTCAGTGCTTGGGGAGCCCACTATCGCACCCTGGGAAGAACTTCTGCTGGTTGCCTAATCCTGACTCGTGGCTTTAATGAACCTATCCGGATTTGGTGTTTATCGAAGGGGCATATGCGAATGTACGCAGAAGTAAGGAGAAGCAGAGATAAAGATAGGGGAATAAAGTGGTTAACTAGCGGGATGATGCTAATTTTTCCATGAACCGTTTTCAAAACTTTTTTATGTGCGTCAATTCCTTCCAATTATAAAGGGTTTTGCTGTCATGATGCGATCGCACTCGTTACGCATTACCCACAAGTTCTGTTTCCCTGTCAACGCATTCGAAATGAGCGATTTAGCACGGTTGGAACCGGTCGGAGTAGACAGCAGTACTTTTTTCAAGAACATGGGCCGCTGTGCTTCAATGAGGCAAAACCGGTAGATTTTCGCTTTTCCCCTCCACTCTGCAAATGTTTTCACGCCTGATATGTGCTCTAGCATTTAGGTACTTGTAAGTGACAAGAGATCCCAATCGTAAGACTGTCGTAATGCAAGCTTCACTCTGGTGATTTCACTCTGAATGAACTCTGGTTACGATATTCGAAATTGGAGTAGGAAGGCAGCATTCCAGCAATAGTGAAGAAAATAGAGCGGAAGAGAGAATGCGATTTGAAACGAAGGGTTCCTCAGAAAAATTTGCGAATATGTGGATGTTTCATGCAAGGCCTGACAGATTCTTAGGATGCGCACAGCGC